GTGTCTTTCAGCCATTTTAGATTCCTCTATTGAGAATTGTCTATTTAGTTCTGTACCCCATTTTTTAATTGGATTGTTTGGTGTTTTCGAGAATAGCTTCTTGAGTTCTTTGTATATTTTGGAGATCAGCCCTCTGTCAGATGTGGGGTTGGTGAAAATCTTTTCCCAGTCTGTGGGCTGTCGTTTTGTCTTGCTGACTGTGTCCTTTGCCTTACAGAAGCTTCTCAGTTTCTGAAGGTCCCATTTATCAATTGTTGACCTCAGTGTCTGTGCTACTGGTGTTATGTTCAGGAAGCAGTCTCCTGTACCAATTAATTCAAGGGTATTTCCCACTTTATCTTCTAGTAGGTTCAGTGTGGCTGGGTTTATGTTGAGGTCTTTGATCCATTGGACAAGTGTTTTAATACAGCAATTGAAACCCTAGCTAAGACATCCTCATTAGTATCATTCCTGTTTCTCTCATACCACAGGTAACTACTATCCTAAATCATATAGTTCATTATTCCCAAACATGCTGCTAAATTCTCATTTTTGAGATAGGTTCTCTCACTGGACTTAGAGTTCATCAACTGTCTATGCTGGATGGCCAGCCAGTGAGCTCCAGGAATCTGCCAGTCTTCACACTTTCTCCCAATGCTGCAATTACAGATAAACACTGCTACAACTGGCTGGCTTTATACATGAGTTCTGGGGATCTGAACTCAAGTCCTCACATGCTTGCATAGCAGGCAGTTTTCCAAAGGAGCCTTGTTATATATCAATAGCAGCCCTCTGCCCTCACTATATTTAATTTTAAAAGAAAAACAAAACAAAGACTGAAGCTGGGCTTGGGGAGACAGCTAAGTCTGGTAAAGTGCTTGGCATGCAAACATGAAGACCAGAGGTCAACCCCAATAACCTAAAAAGACATGGGAGTGCACACTTATTATCCCAGCACTGGGAAGGGGGTGCTGAAGACAGGTAGATCCCTCAGGCTCACTGGCGAGGCAGCCTAATTGACACGCTCCAGGCAGGTCTCAAGGAGAGATCCTGTCTCATAAAACAAGGTGGACAGATACTGAGGAATGACATCTGAGGCTTACTCTTGTTTCCATATGCACGAGCACAGATGAGCACAAACATTTGCACCCACACATTTAAACATACAAACACAAGCCTGGTCTACAAGAGCTAATTCCAAGACAGCCTCCAAAGCCACAGAGAAACCCTGTCTCAAAAAGCAAAACAAAAGAGAGAGAGAGAGAGGAAAGGAAACTCTGAATCTCCTCCAAGTTCTTACCCAGTTTTATCATCAACATGGATTCCTATTTTCTCATTTCCCTTGCTTGCCTGAATACAACCAACCAAAAGGAGTATAAGAGTGTCAAGAATGATTCATCTAACATTCTAAAAGGTAAAGAAAAATTAAGTTTCCCTTACCTGCTCTCCAGATCTTTTTGGAGGTTCAGCTTTTCACCTAACAGTACATCAATCTTGAATTTTGCTTCCTTGAGTTGATTCTGTAACGACTGCAATGCATTTCACAGTAAAATAAGTAACTCTCCTAGGGGATTATTTTGCTTTATAAAAAGGTATTTATCAGTTCTCTGGTTTCCATACCATCAAAAGGCCTTTATAACTTGGTGAGGCATCCAGGTTTCTGTGGTTTGTTTCTTCTTCTGATTGACTGTCATCTTCCTTACTCTGTCTGAGAGGAGACAAACATATCTTATATACCCTTAAAGAAGATATTTAGCTAGCAAAAATTAAGCCAATCTAATAAGGGCTTAAAATTTTAAACATGAATTAAAAATCCCAATTTCCTGCTCATTCTTCAGTGAATAGTATCAGCACAACACTGCCTAATCTTAGAGTGTTCTATTTATTATTTTACTTAAAATGTGTAAGCACCAGAAAATTTTGTCAAAGGACACAGAGGGAATGAAAAATACTTCTTGAATGAACAAACACATTTCTGGTCTTAAAAAATACACTGTGTGCATACTGTTTATTCCTTCCAGTACTTTCAATTCATAAAAAAAATCAAGAAAAGGTGTCAAGTGTAACAATACACAGTGCATAGCACACCTGACCTACCCTGTGCTTCAGACTTCTTAGATTACTTAAAATTCCTAAATACATTCACTCTCCCTGCTGTGTATTCCTCTAACTGAAAAAAAAAAAAAACCTTTATCTGTCTTGAAAACTCTACAGTCTATATGCAAAGCCTACCCATTCCTCTACCTTTCACTCCTCTCTTCTTGCCACACACACTGTCCCACCTGCGTCACAGTTATAGTACACACCACTACGTCTTCCATTTACTTACATGAGTATTGAGACACATCTTCCTAAGTACATTACCATGACAGGGTCTCATTCTAATTCAAGCCAGCTGGGGACTATGTAGCCCAGGCAGCTTCAAACCTGTGGCTATCATCTTCCCTTCACTTCCTCAATGTTACAGCCTCTACCTCAGGCTACAGGGAGCTAGGAATATAGGCATGAACTTCCACAAACAGCTATATGACAAATTTCACTGACATTCTATCTTTTGTATATTTAACCTTTCATAATATTGCCCCACAGCCAATGTACCGTATGTCCATATACTTTATGAATATACTTAGTATCCAGTGGCTAAATAACATAATACTTCAACAAATTAAAAGGAAATAACACTTACATTGTTTACCTAAACATTAAAATACAGTCTTATAGATCTTGATTAAACGAATTTCAACATGAAGTTGTGAGGAAGATGTGAGAGGGAACCAAAATTTGTCGGGGAGAAATGGAGGGTAAATATTTCCAAAATATACCATATACAAAATATATATATACACTGTATGGATGGTAGCACTTCTTGTGGCCTTGATAGAATAGGTGTGACCTTGTAGGAGGAAGTGTGTCACTGTGGGGGTGAGCCTTTGAGTTCTCCTATGCTCAAGATACTCCACTGTCACAATCTTATTTCCTTTCCTGTTGTCTTCTGATCAAGATGTAGCCAGTAAGTACCATGTCTGCCTGCACACTGCCATGTTCCCCACCACGATGATAATGGACTGAACCTCTGAAACCATAAGCAGTCACCACAGTTAAATGTTTCCTATATATGAGTTGCCATGGTCATGATGCCGCTTCACAGCAACAGAAACCCTAAGAGTATGTGATGGGGAAAGTACTTCTGTGTATGTTTATCTTATTGATGAATAAAATACTGTTTGGCCAATGGCAGCAAGTTAGGCAGGACTAGGAGTCAAAGAGGATCTGGGAAATGTAGTAGAGAAGTGGTGATCCAGGCAGGAAGTGACATAGCAAGGAGACTCATATTTAAGAAAGGAGGAACAGGAAGTGTCCCCTTTTCCCCTAGGCGCCTCCTCGAGCAGCGCAATGTGAGCCACCGGCAAGAGAAGGCGCCAGCAGAAGGCATCCTCTATAAGGTAAGTCATATAAAATATATAGATTTATGATAATTAAGACTGAGCTAACAGATGAGAATCCTAGTCATTGGCCAAGCAGCATTTGAACTTAATACAAGTTTCTGTGTATTAATTTGGGCTTTAACTCAGGCGGGTGGCTAGTGTAAAGCACACACGTGGCGGTGGGGCTCAGCGGCTTTTGGTGGCTTTTGGCGGAAAAGATTTATCATAACAAGTATGCATGTATGAATTTGTCGGAGGATAAAAAATACTGTATTTGAAAAAGAATTTCATAATGATATTCAGACTTCCAGAACATAAAGTCTCAAAAGCTACAGGAACTTAATTTGTTCCTGGATAATATTCATCCTAGATTACTTTAAAATTATATTATTTGCCATGTAGTGGTGGGCACACGCCTTTAATCTCAGCATTTGAGAGGCAGAGGCAGACAGATATCTGTGAGTTCGAGCCCAACCTGGTCTACAGAGTGAGTTCCAGGACAGAGAAACCCTGTCTCAAAAACCAAAAGAAAAATTGTATTATTTATACCTTTGTGTATGGAGTTTTCGAAGTTTAGATTCATAGTAATCAATTAGACAAAGCAATCTAGAAAACAAAAATACGTTATTTTCAAAAGGTAGTATCTACTATTTTTTTTACATAATTTCTAATTATAATGATAAAAGTAAGCACATGCTCGGTATAGAGAGATAGCTTAGCAGTTAACAGTGCATACTGTAGGGCTGAAGAGATTGCTCAATGGTTAAGGGCAGTGGCTGCTCTTGGACCCAGGTTTGATTTCCAGTACCTATATGGTGGCTTACAATCATCCATGACTCCATCCCAGGAGATCAAACACTGTTCTAACTGCCTCCACAGGCACCAGGCTCACATATGGTAATGCACATACATATAGGCAAATCACTCATACATAGAAAAACTTCAAAGATAAGCCAGGTATGGTGACGCACACCTTTAATCCCAGCACTCGGGAGGCAGAGGCAGGCAAATCTATGTAAATTTGAGGTCAGCCTGGTCTACAGAGTGAGTTCTAAGACAGCAAAGGCTACAACAGAGAAACCCTGAGAAGAAATAATAAGAAAGAAGAAGGAGGAGGAGGAGGAGGAAGAGAAAGAGGAAGAGGAGGAGAGTCTCACTGTAATGGCTCTGGATGGCCCAGAACTCAAAGATCTACCTGTCTCTGCCTCTCAAGTGTTGGGAATAAAAGCATATGCCACATTCATGGTTAATATTTTTAAAATAAATGTCTAAACTCATTCATCAGGGAGCTGAAGAGATGGGTCAGTGGTTAAGTGCACTGGTTGGTCTTTCAGAGGACATGGGTTTGATTCTCAGCACCCACATGATGGCTCAGCTGTCTGTAACTCCAGCTCCAGGGGTGTCTGACACCCTCCTCTCTGTCCACTGCAGATATGGCACCATATCAGTACCAGGCACACATGTGGTGCACATATATTCATGCAGACACAACACCCGTACACATAAAACAAAATTTAAAGTTTAGGACTAGAGAAATGGCTCAGCAGTTAAGAGCACATACTGCTCTTCCTAAGAACCTGAGTTCAATACCCAGCACCCACATCAGGTGGTTTACAACTGCCTGTAACCCCAGCTCCAGCAGGATCTCATATCTCTGACCTCTATGGGCACTTGTATTCAAATGAACATATTCCCACCCCACCCCCACATAATTAAAATAATAAAGAATTTAAAATAAAAAAGAGTTAAGTTTAGCCAGGCAGTGGTAGTGCACACCTTTAATCCCAGCACTCAAGAGACAGAAGCAGGTGGATCACTGAGTTCCAGGCTAGCCTGGTCTACAAAGTGAGTTCTAGACAGCCAGGGCAGTCACAAAGAGAAACCCTGTCTTGAAAAATACATACATACATACATACATAAATAAATAAGTTCCTCAAAATACTCTGAAACACACACACACACACACACACACACACAATGATGAACTGGGGAAAAAAAGACAAAAAGGGACTTCTCTAGCAAAAGATATAATCAGTGTCAAGATAAAATCAGCTGAAAAATAATCAACCTAGTTCCATTATCATCCTATGTACTAAGCATTACTGTTTATCCAAGACTGTATGAGGGACTCTCTTGCAGAGATAGGCAAACACTCTGTTTTGAGTGATAATACGTTCTTCTTCCTCCTGGGTTAATCTGTAGATATCCTTTTGCAAAGAAGCGATGGTCTCTTCTTGCTCCATTCGTTTTTTCTTATAATGCTGGCATTTCATCTGTAAGAAAATTGTAAATCCATAATTATATTTATACATGTAAGACATAGTGCTCTGTTAATACCGATGTCACCATCTCTACTCAGCTGCTTCATTCAACAATCCCATCAATACTGTTTAAAACTGATGCAAGCAATATTAATATTTCACAAAAGTGAAAACCTATAAAATGAGGAAACTATGACAATTACATGCATGTAAGATTTCATAATAAGGATCTTAAGAATCTCTATAAAGCCAATATAATTTTATATTTCAATGGTTTTATGAGACTAGGTTTCCACATAGCCCAGGCTGATTTCCAGCTTGCAATCCTATTTTATCAGCCACCTAATTGCTGGAGTTACAGGTGTGTACTACCATGCCTACCTTTTATTTAAGTTGAGATAAAACTAATAATCAGGAAGAGAATTATATATTTAAATCTTTTAAAAGAACCACAAAACAGCTGGGTGGTGGCACATGCCTTTAATTCCAGCACTCAGGAGGCAGAAGCAGGTGAATCTCTGTGAGTTCGAGGCCAGCCAGGTCTACAGAGTGAGTTTTGGGAAAACAAGGACTATTACACAGAAAAACCTTGTCTCAAAATACCAGAGAGAGAGAACCACAAATGAAAATTAAGGTTTTTTTAATGATTTATGAATTGCAAATGATGTAGTCAGTTTGGACATCCAGGCAATGGGGAAGACCATAAATTAAGGATAGGTCCATAACCAGTATGTGCCTTAGATTTATAAAAAAGATTCCACTTTCAAAACATAACACTCATAAGCACATGGCCATCTGTCCAAAATGTCAAATTTACTGAAACTTAACAACCATCAAAGGGGAAATAGTCTTAGTTTCTGGTAGCATACCATCTCCTAGTGAACATGAAATATGCAGTAATCCACCATCTGCCTTGGCCTTCCATGAAACTAGGCACGGCCTCTACAGCTAAGTGATGAGGGTGCCAGTCTCCCCTCAATATGTAAGTTAGCCAAAAACTAGAAGCAATCATTAATCATTGAGGTTTTTCTTTGGCATATATTCATTACACACAAGAACATTTTTGAATACCATGTATTTTTTGACCATGCTCACCTCTGTATCTTTATTTTTCCTCTTCCCTGCTGTTCTTTATTCCCCAGTCGGGCTTCAAATTTCAAGATGCATGTACATGTATACACCAGTGTGTGTGTGCGCGCGCACACACACACACACACACACACACACACACACACACACACACACACACACTTTTAGTTCACTTGTCTCTTGGACACTTTGACTGATTCCATAACTTGACTATCAGTCTTACTGCAGTAAGCACAGATGTGCAAGCGTCTCTGTGATCAATAACCTAGTCTTTGGAGTATATACTCAGGAAGAGTAGAATTGGGTCATAAGATAGTTCTAGTTTCACTATTTTTTTAGGAAACCTCCGCACTGATTTCTACAGTGGCTGGACTAATTTATACTCCCTTCAGTATGAGTTCTCTTTTTTTCCAAAATCCTTATTATCATTTGTTGTTACCTTTTGTCTTAATGATAGGCATTGTGACTAGGGTGAGACAGAATCTCAATGTAGTTTTAATTTGTATTTTCCTGCTTGCTAAGAGTGTTGACCATTATTTGTCTATTTATGAGTCACTGGTACTTACTTCAATTTTTTGAGAACAGTTTGTTCATTAATTAGCCTGTTTATCAACTGATTCATTAGACTGTTTGGGCTTAGTTTTTGTTTTGCTTTTCTGAGACAGGATCTCACTATATAGCCTTGGTCAACCTGGAACTCACAAAGACCCTCCTGTTGCTGCCTCTTGAATGCTGGGGTTAAAGATGTGTGACACCAGTCTTTCCTGAGTCCTTATATATTCTAGATAGTAATTCACAGGTAGTACAGTTTTCTCCCCTTCTATTGGTTGTCTCTTCATCCTGTTGGTTGGTTCCTTTCCTGTACAGAAGCTTTTAAAAGTCATGCAATGCTACTTGTCAATTCTTGCTATTATTTCCTGTTGGAAGTCAAAGATCTCAGGGCTTGACTTGAGATCCTAGGCCATGCTTGGCCAGCCACATAGTTATATATTAACCTTTACATAGCAGCTCCTTAGAACCTCAGCTCAAGAAAATAAACAACTTGACCCAGTCCCCCACCTTATGTTCCAACCACAGGCTCAGTCACCTAGGCAACCCTTCCTGGACCTCTTACTCATGAACTCTTTACCCTGCCAAACATTCTCTCTTTGTGGTTTCCTAATATCCTGCCTACACTAACACCTGGCATACAAACAACCCATTCTACCCCTCCCCGTATCCTGCTCTGCTGACTATATAAAGCTAGCCTGAGAAAAAATAAAGTTTGCCACTTGATCAGAATCCTGTCTTGTGGCCGTTCTTTCTGCGTCTCTTGTCCCCATTCCCTATCCCTGACTCTCTTGCCCCAGGTTGACGTGCCTCGGGTGGGGACAATTTCCTAAGCTATTGGAGTCCTTTTCAGAAAGTTCCTGCCTATGTCTATACTTTTAAGAGGTTTCTTTTTTTTTTCTAATGGTTACAATTTAGATTACTGAAGTATTTGGTTCATTTTGAATTGATTTTTATATGGAGTAAGAGATAAGGATCTAGTTTCATTCTTCTACATATGGATATCATGTTTCCCTGTACTATGTTGAAGAAATTGTCTCTTTCTCTGACGTATGTAAAGCCAAAATTCAATTGGGTATATGATAAGTGTTCATTTCTGGGTTGTCTATTATATTTCATTGATATACATATTTTTGTGATAGTACCAAACTTTTTGTTACTACAGTTTTGTAGCATTATTAATTGCAGAATTGCTTTCACTATCAAGGGCCTTTTGTACTACCATATGCATATTAGGACTGTTTATTCAATTCTGTGAAGACTGTCATTAGAATCTTGATGGTGATACAGAAATTGCTTTGGTAATATACCTACTTTCTAGTTCTAATAATCCATAAACTGAACAGAAAGTTTTTCTATCATCTAATGTATTCTTCAATTTCTTTTTTCAGTGTTTTAGTTTTCACTGGATGGCTGAGGAGAGGGCTCAGTGGGTAAAGTATGTGCGAAGAAAGCAGGAGGACCTGCATTTGGATTCCCCAAACCCACATAGAGCCAAGAGCAACAGCACTCATCTATATTTCAGCCATTCGTATGGCAAAATGGGAAACAGAGACAGAAGAACCCCAGAGACTCACAGGCCAGATAACCTATTCTCTGTACAGAATTCATTACTATCTGCTCTCACAGCTTTATTATACATAGTATAAGGCAAAAAAACCACATAAAAGAAATATCTATGCAGGCCACTTAAACCTCTACATAGGACACTGAGATCCATAATGAGCACTATGATCTCTATCACGGATTCAAAAAATTTCCAATTTGAGCTTTCAATGGGTGGAAAAGATCTCCATTCATGAGCATTATGACTTGATATAAAGCATGATGAACTCTGTATAGGACACTGAGCTCTATAAACAGGGTAGCATGGGATGTTCCCAGAGTACTGTAATCGATATGTAAGACACCATGAATTATATGAAAGACATATGACCTCTTTAAAGTACCCTATGAGATCAACATACATGCAATATGAGACTTCTGTAAGCTGTGTGTAAGTGCACTATGAGCTATACAGATGAGACTGTGAAGTCTGTGCAGAACATTACAAGCTTATATAAACGTGTATTATGATCTGTACTACTTCAGTATGGGCTCTAAATCATGTGCACTGTGAGCTCTATTCAGGTCACTGTGAGCTCTATAAAATAGGCACTGAGTACTCTGTTAGGGTACCTGGAGTCCATAAAGGACACTGTGAGCTCACGGATATCATTATGTCCTTTAATCAAGAGCACCTTAAGCTATACAGAGGTGCATGATGAGCTTCATAAAGGACATTGTGAGTTACACAGATACACTGTGAGTTCAATATAACTGTCAAACACACACAGAGGGGTGGTTGTGTGTGCACTTCAAGGTATGTACTTGGGAATATGAAGTCTAAACAAGTGCTTTATGAGTTCTATTCATGTGTGATGTGAACTCAGTGGAGATACACTGTAAAATGTACACAAGTCACTATCATGGCATGGAGCTCTAAACAAGTTCACACTGAGAAATACACAAGGCACTTTGAACAAGGCTGTCCTAGTTCCATACAGAGTACTATGAGATCTATAATGATCTTTAAAGACTATAAAGAGAATTCTGCCAGGCAGTGGTGATGCACACCCTTAGTCCCAGCATTTGGGAGGCAGACATAGATAGATCTCTGAGTTTGAAGCTAGCCTGGTCTACAGAGCGAGTTCCAGGACAGGCTCCAAAGTTACACAGAGAAACCCTGTCTCAAAAAAAACCAAACCAAACCAAACCAAAAAAGAATACTAAAAATTCTTTATGTACAAGATGAGGTCTGAACTTGGAGTTCTACAAAAGTGAACTATGAGTTCTACAGAGAACCTCAGGAGCTCTCCACATGTCCTATGATGGCTAAATAAGGTAGTATGGATATTAAAAAAGGTATACTCTGAACTTCATACAGTTGTAATATGAACTCAAGCTGGAGCACACAATATACTCAATAGAAGTGCACTATGGGTTCTACATGGCACTATGCACTTTATATAGGGCACTCAAAGCTCCAGCAGTGAATTATGAGATCTATATAGGATTCAATAAGCTCTATTGTCTTAGTTGGGGTAACTATTGTTGTGATAAAACATCATGACCAAAAACAAGTTGGAGAGGAAAGGGTTTATTTGACTCATAGTCTCACATCACAATCTATCATTGAATGAAGTCAGGACAGGAAATCAAATAGGGCAGGAACCTGCAGATAGGAACTGATGCAGAGGTCATGTAGGGGTTCTGCTTACTAGCTTGTCCCCATGGCTGGCCCAACCTGGTTTCTTCCTGGCTTTTTGTTTTTTGTTTTGTTTTGTTTTTATTGTTTTTCGAGACCCAACCTGGTTTCTTCCTGGTTTTTTGTTTTTTGTTTTGTTTTTTTGTTTTTCGAGACAGAGTTTCTCTGTGTAGTTTGGAGCCTGTCCTGGAACTAGATTTGTAGACCAGGCTAGCCTCAAACTCACAGAGATCTGCCTGCCTCTGCCTGCTGAGTGCTGGGATTAAAGGCGTGTGCCACCACCACCCGGCTTCCAGCCTGGTTTCTTACCTAGGATCACCTGCCCAAGGGTGGCCTTACCCATAATGGGATGGGGTCTCCCACATCAATCAGTAGTTAAGAAAATGCCCCACATACAGGTACACTATGAGATCTATATAGAACACCATAAACTCGAAGCAGAGCATTATGGGCTACATTAAAGCACTATGAGCTGTGTACATGGGAATATATGCTTAATACGGGCAACAAGGTATTATGACATTATAAAAATATTGTACTAGGATTTCTTTGTAGATAACTATGACTTTCTACAATATTCATTATGGGATGTACATGGAGATTATGAGGCATTTACAATGAAATCTGACCTCATTGAAGGGCAATATGAGATCTATTCAGAAATTGTCACATATATACAGGACACTATGTCTCTGAACATGGCACTATGGTTGCTATCAGGTAGACTGCTAGACATTTACAAGTGTAGGGAAATCCCTGTGCAGGCTCAATGAGCTATGCAACAGTGCAGTATGAGATGCCAAAGGACTCAGTGGTTAAGAACACTTCCGGCTCTTCCAAAAGATGTGGATTCAGTTCCCAGCATCCACATCCGAAGCTCACAAGCTCCTGTTGTTACTACCCCAGTTCCAGGGGACCTAGCACCCTCTTCTGGCCTCCAAAGATACCCATACATATGTGGCATATACTCATATAGATACACACATGCATCTTTTAGGGATATTCATGAAACTATAACATGCAGCCTCATAGATGAATCTCAAAATGAGGTGCTAAGTAGAAAAGATCACCTATTAACATTATTAACCTATGCCAATGTAAACTGCTTTCCTTTAACAATCTTTACACACACTTCAAGCATTTGGATTTCCTTGACCTTAGCCACAGACATACATACACCCTGGAAGTGACATGGAAATTACCTGGGACTATGAAGAACTTTCAATATTAACCATCAAATAAAAAAAGATATGTCAATACAATACCTGTAATACTTTATGCTCTTTTTGAAGATCTTGCATTCTTTGTTGTTGCTGAAAAACTCTGCTTATGGACTGATCTTCTAATTCACCAATTTTGGATTTCACACTGTCCATAATCTGCTCCAGGTCATTGGCTCGCTGTTCCTGGTGTGTTGCTCGGTTCTGTTCCAGCTGAAGTTCACTTCTAATCAAGAGAGACACTTCCTTCCCTCAGTGTTAAAATAAATCAGATTGTACATGACATATAACAGACTACTTTCCAAAATATCTCTACATTCTTAACATTTTTTACCTTTTTTAGTGCTGAAAATCAAAGATTAGCATAATTAGTACTGAGCTGTACCCCAGCCTCAACACTTCTATCTTGTAACAGGAGTATAACCATGCTTCCTGACATACCCAATCTCATCTATAAGAGAAAGTAAATAGGTTAGAGGGTACCATTACATATTGATGCTAAGTTCTACTGAAAGTCGTTTACTTAATTTTTGCCCATTTATTTGTAAAAGCAATTTTGCTTTACATTTAATAAAAATGAAATTTCAGGGGGCTAGAGAGATGGTTCAGCAGATAAGAGCATTAGCTACTTTTCCAGAGGACCCAGGTTCAGTTCCCAACCCCTACATGGTGGTTCACAATCATTCATAACTCTAGTTCCAGGGGATCTGATGTACTCTTCTGAACTCTGGATTCAAGTACCCACATGGTACATTATGTACATTGTTGACAGAAATAAAATAAATTTTAAAAAAGTACAATGAGGGGCTGGAGAGATGGCTCAGAGGTTAAGAGCACTGACTGCTCTTCCAGAGGTCCTGAGTTCAATTCCCAGCAACCACATGGTGGCTCACAACCATCCGTTATGAGATCTGGTGCCCTCTTCTGGTGTGCAGATATACATTGAAGCAGAATGTTGTATACATAATAAATAAATAAAATCTTTAAAAAAAAATAAGTACAATGAAGACATTTCAGGATCCTCCCCAGGGAGTTGTGCTTAGAATGCATGCAAACAAGCCCGCTGTCTTACTTAAGCTGCTGGTTGGTCTCTATGAGGTCCCGGATCATGCTCTGCTGACGTGTTGTTTCTTCTATCAACATTTTCAAAGTCTGCCTCATTCTTTGTGATGATTGTTTGTCAAAAACGATGAGCTCTACATTGATATACATACATATATATAATATATACATATATATATAATACATAATACATATACATACACACACATATATATGCCATGAAAAAACAAAGAGAAGGTAAAGTCATTTTAAGATAAACACTTTTTAAAGAAAGAAAAAGCTTTGTTCCTAACAGAACAAGAACAGCATCTAGTTACCTTTGAGGTCAGTTCTTTTGACTAGACACAAAGGTTTGAAGCCATGCGTCATCAACAGCCCATTTACGCTTTCCCATTCTGCTTCCTCCTGCTACAATCACAGTAGAGAAAAAAGGAACAACTTAAAGATGTGAAGAAAAACCTTTTATATAGCATCCTATGTTTTCAGAACAGAACCTTTCCTCCAAAGGTGTCTGATTTTTAGATGTATGTATTTGTTCATCTATATGAGGGTATGAACTCGTGAAGTTCCAGTGCAGCAGAAACCAGAAAAAGGTGTCAGCCCCTGGGGTTTGAGGCAGTTGTGAGCCACATGACATGGATGCTGTGAACTGAACTAGGGTCCCGTGAAGACCAGCAAGTGCTTAAATGGTCTTACAATTTTTAGACAGGGTCTCACTATGTAGCCCTGGCTGGACTGGAACTATCAATGTAAACCAGACCAGCCTTGAACTTAAAAGGTGTAATTGCCTCTGCTTCCCAAGTGCTGAAATGAAAGATGTTTGGCATGCCTAGTTTTAATATGAAATTTTATGTATCAAATTATAATTTACAAAGGTTTAGTCTTTACTAAAATCAGCAACAGAAGTATGCAAATGAGTAAATTGTTATATTACACAAAATATCCACATGTAGGCCCCTTAATGGGCAAATTAAAACAAAACTTGTGATTTCAGTGAAACAGGTAAGTCTAATTGAATAAGGTCAGGCCATACTCAAATGACACAACTGAAAACTAAAACTAGCCACTCTGAAATAAGTATCTCTTTAACAATGATGAAAAAGGGTCATGTGAGGGCTGGACTTGGGAAATAGCAGCTTCCAAAGGGCCAGGGTCCTGGGCAGGTGGCAGAGAGGAGGCCTTTATGATCTTCTTTAGGGAGGCTAAACAAATAGAAGCTCCACATCCAAAAATCAGACTGAAAGATTGACCTGTCCAGGTTCCTCTTTAATGTGAACTCATTTGAGATTTTCCAGCTATTCCTGAAGTGACAGAAAAAGAAATAAAAGAGAGGTTTCAGCCGCTATATAACACTAGTACATCCTGACAAAAATCAAGATGCTACTGGTGGTGCACAAAAGGCTTTTGAAGCTGTGGACAAAACTTACAAGTAGGCTACTGCCACGGGAACAGAAGAGGCCCTGGATGTGATTCAGGCAGAAAAGAACAAATTGTTAAGAGGCAGGGGTAAGGAAGGAAAGTAGAGGATGACCCTGAACTGTTCAAACAACCATTATACAAACAAACCATGAAGCCATTTGCTAAACTGGACATGAAAGAAGAGATGCCAAAGACGTGCACAAAGCAGAGGCGGAAGAAAAGTAGAGATGGTCAGTAGACAGCTGGTGAAATCTGCAAGCAAATCCCAAAGGGAAGAAAACAAAGAATCAGACCTTCCTGGGGTCACTGAAAGTAAAAATGGAGCATGAGTGGCCAGCTGGGTCACAGTCACAGAACTGTGCCTAGCTGTCCCCCCCTTCCTGCTTCAGGGGACTCATTCCTTCCTCCTATTTCCACCAACATGGAATAACATTGACTTTTTAGTCCATTTTGTCTTCACTACAATTTAATCTCAGAGTAATCCTCTGAATTGACAGAAGGGGCTCAGCTGAGCCCTGCCCCCCAGCCCTTGCCCACTTAACAAGCACAACTGGAAGGAGCCACCATGATGCTGTCCTATCTTCTCCCACAACCTGTGCCTTAATGTTCTGTACCTCACTAGACTATGATAGTGACAAACTTCATGGATAGTTCCTGGAAATCATCTTGCTTACTATGAATTCAGACAAGCCTGGACCACCTCTGGAAGTCCCTGTGCTTGATTTGAAGGTGTCATCCTCAAAGTCCCAGAGCAAGTAAAGAAGGCATTTGTGAACACAGCATGCAGTCACTCAATGCCCTCAAGCCCTGTGGTGTTTGATATATGTCCTCTGTCAACTGACCAACCATTGCTATCAATAACAGCTGTTAACCCCTGAGCAGCCACACCAAGGCCTCCAGTCTCCTTATCATCATACTCCCAGAGGAGCCACAGCTGCCAGAACCTGCCCCAATCACCATCACCTCAACCCTGAAAAGCAAGACAGAAAGACCCAGCAGCCGTCTCTGCCTCCACACCCTCAGCCACCAAACTGGGCACCATAGGGAGCTGTGTATGCAGCATCGAGGGACAATATGGGCACTAGGATTGTTACTCTAGCTCCAGAGGGGATTCGATGCCTCTGGCTCCCGAAGGAACCATATGTCAAATCTTCTGGAGACTGATAAAATTGGGGAAGCTAAAGAAATAAAGATACTTGACAGTCTTTAACCCAGAATCCTTCAGTAATTTATCCATTTTTTAAAAGATTCATTTTTATTTATTCTGTCTGCATATATACCTGCAGGCCAGAAGAGGGCACCAGATTTCAGTATGGATGGCTGTGAGCCACCATATGGTTGCTGGGAATTGAACTCAGGACCTCTGGAAGAGCATCGAGTGCTCTTAACTGCTGAGTCATCTCTCCAGCCCCAGGACTTGTGTATGAGTTTGGGGGTCAGGCAGAGTGAGGGATAGTATTTTCAGGTGAGTGTAACTACCTGGAACTGAAGTTACAAATAGTTGGGAGCTGTATGATGTGGGTGCTGGGACTAGAACTCAGGTCTAGAAGAGCAGTATATACTCTTTCTTTGAGACAGGGTTTCTCTACATAACAGCCCAGGCTATCCTGGAACGAGTTCTATAGACCAGACTGGCCTCAAACTCAGAGATCCGCCTGCCTCTGCCTCGTGAGTGCTGGGATTAAAGGTGTGCGCCATCACTGTCAGCTCCAGCAGTATACCCTCTTAACCACTGAGTCATCTCACAATCCCAACAAACAATCTTTTTAAAGTCAGAATTTCAGGCCAGAAAAAAGTTCAGTAAGTAAAAATGCTTGTCACCAAGCCTGACAATCCAAGTTTGGTCCTGAGACTCTCATGGTGGAAGAAGAAAATCTTAATTCCTGCAAGGTTTCCTTTGACCTCATGCACACCACATACAAAAATAAATAAATGCAAAAGAAAATGCAAAAAGAAAATATGTCAGAGTTTTCTATTTGTATACTTGTCATCCTTTTGTCATATACTTTGAGAAACAGTGACAAAATATTTTAAGCTTACCTGTTTTTCAATCAGGAGTTTGTCTGATAACTGATGGGTGTCCTGGGCTTTAGGGGCTGCTGGAGGCATCGTTTCTTTTGTAGACTCCAAAGTAGAGATGGGCAATAAAAAAATTTGAGTTCCCTAAGTGAAAAAAGGAGAAATTGCAATAGAAGTTTAAGAAGTCTGGGGAGATAGTTCAGCTGGTAGAGTGCCTGTCTACCATAAATACAGTGCTGCGTTCATCCTCCAAATCTACATAAAACTAGTGTGGTACACACCTATAATCCAAGGACTTGGGATGGGGAGGCAGGAAAAGCGGAACTTCAAAGACATTCTTAAATACCGAAGTTAAAGGAATTACATGTAGGGCCACACTCTCTTAGACAAAACCACCCCTATGTTCTTAGGTATATCCTATTTTTTCCTGAGTGCCTTTTTCCTTCTTAATCCTCATGCTTACACTCTATATTTACTGGGCATAGTGCCATACTTTTAATCCAAACCCTTAGGAGGCAGAAAAGAGGATCTCTGTGAGTTTAAGGCCTTCCTGGTCCACATAGTTAGTTCCAGGACAACTAGGGTTATATATGAGAATTGTTCAAGAGCACAGGTTAAAGAGTCATAGCTTAAGAGCTGTACCTGTAGCTGCTCAGGGTTGGCATTCTAAGGCTTTGAAAGTGTCGAGCCCTAAGCCTCTAGCCTCAAGACTTAGAGTCCAGGGCCCAAACTCAAGGCTATCAACACCAAGGAACTGCTTCTCCCTATCCAAGATTTCTATATAAGCTCCCAGCCAGCCACTTGAGACAGGTTTTTCAAATCATAACAGCAAAAAATGTTTAATGCAATACTAACCAAAAGAAAACTAGCATATAACCAAACTGCCTGGGGATTCTGCCACACAACCAGGGGATACTAATTCCTCTGTGCTTTGATTTCTTCATAGAAGAGCAGGAGGAGGAAAAGTACTTAGCTCACAAAAGTCCTGCAAAGATTGGAAGAATAAATACTCGAAGAGCATGGAGTATGCTAGCCTCACAGCATGACAGAGTCTCTGTCTATTGAACTCATTGGACTTCCACTTTCTTATTGAGCTTTACTTACTGAGAATTATCAGGTAGTCAAAAGGAAAAAAAAAATGTAAACGTATCTATCATCTAACACAATATCCAGTAAATTTTGTTTGCTATCTCCCTAAATTGGAAAAAAATAGAATCATCCATTATATCATACATACCTCAGTCATAGTGATTCCTCTTGCAGTTTACACCTGGTCATCCAATCTGATCTCAATAAAATGATCACCCAATGAGTCTCATGTCCAAAACTGGATCTTGATCTAGGTTTCAAAAAGATACAAGCCAAAGCCTTAAAATGTTCAGCCTGTTCACTAAAAATGATCTTGAGTTATAACAAGGCAGGAATCTATGGTGCAGATAACCATGGAATCAAAGCCTAAAAAAAACTGCAGCAATGCCGCCCGTTGGTGATGCATGCCTTTAATCCCAGCACTCAGGAGGCAGAGGCAGGCGGATCTCTGTGAGTTCGAGGCCAGCCTGGTCTCCAGAGTGAGTGCCAGGATAGGCTCCAAAGCTACACAGAGAAACCCTGTCTCGAAGACAAAAATAAACGAAAAAAAAAAAAAAAAACCTGCAGCAACAAGAATGGTCCAAAGCTCTCCATCAAAGAGCCTCCCCTTTTCTTTTTCTCTTATCCTTCCTCCCATTGCTTTGTTGAAACGTGCTGGATATCCAAATATACCATTCTGATTTGTGGCTTCAAGGGTGGTTATTTTTATTTGCACGTGTATTGAGAACACTCAAGTAAAACCAGGCAGAACGATACTCGCCTGCACCTGTGATCAACCTTCCCTCCAGTATTGAGTTACTGTTCTGCAAGTAAAAGGGGAGTTAGGCCTACAGATCATCATCATTCCATCCCAGATGACAAGAAAGGCCAGAATTGACCTGTCCTGGGCTGAAGAAAAAACTGCCAATAAAACGCCTTCCTACTCTGCCTCATCAACCAACACAGAAAGCAGCAAAAACTCTCATCAAATTCCTTTCCCAAGGGAAGCTGGGGGAGCAGGTGTATTGGAAAATTAAGACAAAAAGTCCACGCAACACAGAAGGCTGAAACCAACGTCTGCAGCGCTAAAAGGTACGGTTACACACAGCTCAGTTGGTTTAGGCAAGAAAGCTTGAGACACATCCCCTGAATCCACGGAAACGGGGAATTCTGTAATTCCAGCACTCCCGTGGGCAGATGGAAGGAGGATACTGCAGCTCTCCTCGCTAGTCCGAGTAGGATGCAGAAAAACAAAAGCCCTTCTCCCAAACAAGGTGGAAGGAAGGCAAGGACCTACACTTGAGGTTGTCCTCTGTTCTCTCTGGTTCATAGTAATGGGAACCTTGATTGGGCTTTATGGTATTTTTCACATTATAATCAACGTGGACTCTACATAAAGGCGGAGTTTCCCCCTGAATTTGCAATGTGTCTGACAGGAGAGAGAAAGAATCAATCCTCTCTACCCTTCCTCCCGAGATCTCGCACTGCGCTCCAAATCTCTGTCACCTGAGAGCTGGAGGAAAATCAGCCCCCAGGACCTACAACAAACCCCAAACCCAGCCGGTGCCACGTACGACTCTAAGCTCCAGTTTCCTGCCTCCTCTACCCGGTCGCTCCCCTTATTCACTCGGATAGGAGCCGGAGCTCGGGGGCTGAGTGGGAAGCGAGCTGCACAAAGTGTCAGGCGTAGGGTGGTCCACGCTCGCCCCCGCACGCGCGGTTCCCAGCTCGCACCTTAGCAGCCGGGGCGACTCCGCCCTGGAGGCCCTGGTCGGTCAGTGTAGACCTTCGGGAACCCCCAAAGAGGACACCTTCGGGCGTGCTCTTGAGAAGGGACCCCCGCGACGCCCTCGGGGACCCCAAGAGCCACTCACCTCAACCGCAGCAGCCTGCAGCTTGCAGCGCGCCCGCCCCTCCGCCTGAGCCCCGCCCCCTCGACCC